AATGACATTTTCTTTTACTCAGTGATTGCATTAATTTTAGATAGTCTCTTCACCCACCTAGACAAAATTTCTGTCATTTCTTTGGCCACTTGTTCCCTATAAAAAATTGATAAGAAAATATTTTATTAAAAATTAATAAGGTCTTTCATGGCTCTGATGTCATCTGTTTAAGAGGTAGCAAAAGCATGCTTTTTAAAAATAATATCCTCTTCTAAAATGTATATTGTAATAGTTATGTACTTAATTTTTGTCCTTTTCCCATTGGTTTGTTAAAACTAGATACTGAAATTATTTACAATAACTTTAAATAATTCTTATATTTAAGCAGAATGTGAGATACAAAATATTAACAATTAATTAGAAAGTAATAGTTTTCCTAATCAGAGAGGGACTATTACAGGGGTGAAAGGAGCAATACAATTTTTTCTGCTAATGGGATTATTAAAGTAAGAAAGTCGTATAGAACTAAATAAAAAAAAATTGCCATACGCAGTCATTTGAGGCCTTGTTCCATTGGTTCTGTAAATAAAAGATACTTAGGTTAGTTTGGTAATTTCCTAATTAGCTTTCTGATCATCTGAAATGTGAAGAGGCCAATTCACTGCAACTTTTCTTCTTCACCCTCTTCTAACTTGTAATGATTTTTATTTGATCCAGGCTCAGTATTAGACAGGCTTGTTTTTCTTTAGGCTTTGGAATTCATTTACTAGGGAAGCTTGATTGAAAAAGTTAAATAAATTTGATTTTTAAAAACATTGGCTCTACTTTATATCACCATATAACAACATAGTATTTACTTAACTTGTAAATAATCAGTTAATGTTTATCTTTCTGTATCAAAGACTCATGCAATAGATACCAATTATGCATGGCTGAATATAATTTAAAAAATATAGGAGAAGAATCCTTTGCAACTCCTACAACAGGCCAAATGGTCCTATCATCCAATCTGTAAAAATACACTTCAAACTGAAGCCAATTGCTACAGTATTGACCATGTATGCCAATATCCAGAGTAATCCACACATACTGAATATAAAGATATGTTAAACAGGTCATGTTTTAATGTCTCTCTCCCCAGCAATATGAAACAAAAATAGCTCATCCAAAACAGTAACCTGCCCCAATGAAGTGTTCTAGGTGTTTGGTAACTTATGCTGTATCAATGAATGGGATAAGAAAACAGGATGGACATTTATGCATTTGCCTATCCAAAAATATTAAATATTTACCATATATTTCTGTTCACTTATACCAAGCTATGCTTCACTACCTCCTTATATGTACTTATCAATGTGGGAAGATTAATATGGATAAAGGATCCAGCATACCCAGTAAAGAACATATATACAATAAATAAAAAGGTTGAGTCCACTGCCAATATGACTCATTGTCTTATCTCTTAAGAACATTGTGGGGATATTTTGAAGTGACATTGTTCACTATTCTCTCTGAAATGCACAAATAAATGAAGGTAAAAAGTAGAAAGCGAAACTGAGTAAATGGTGCTCATTTTCAAATAATCAATGACCACATATCAATATCAAAGATTGTTTTCAATGTGGCCGGATGAAAGGGTCAATGGGAAAATGAAACCATATAATGTCATACTGTTGCATGTCCTTTGACTAAAATAGCTCCAAGTGCTGGTTGTCAAAACTACATTTTTACTCATGTCAGAGTGAAAAAGTGAAAAAAAACTGGAGAAGTCCAGCGCAAAATATTGTAGAATGAAGACTGTCAGCTCTTGCCACAGGACTACACTGGAATCTCAAACTGGCCTCAAACCACACCAGTAGATAATGAGGCAAACGAGTCGTAAAAGTGTTCTACATAATAATATGTAATAAGAAAGAGGGAGGGAAGAGGAAGGAGGAGAACAAGAATGTTTTTGTCTGGTTTATATAGTACCTTCAACTGAATGTGTGGCTGGTTTGCCATTTTATGGCATCTTAAATTGGGGCATATATAGTACTCATCAAATATTCTGCATTTAACATGGTAATTGGAGCATAAGTGTAACATGTAGACAGGGCCTCAGTCATTTGAACAAACATTCCACTAACAAGTGGCAGCTGCTAAGGTGATAATTTAAGAGCTCCTTTGTAGAAGGAGCTTGTCTCATGTAAGGCTTCAGTCATGGAAGGAGTGGGTAAGCAAAATCACCCAGAAGCAGAAAGGGGAAGTTGACTCCTTTTGGGTGCAGACAGAAGTAACAATTTTTGCCCAATCTGGCCACAGAAAGCAGTCTACAGCCATGACCA